CCCAATACCGATAGTAGAGCAATAATTATTTATTATAATTTTTTCATATAGACAAAAAAAACAATTTATTCACTACAAAGATGCAACTTCGTTTCAATGCATTTAAACTTGCACTTTAATTTTACTTTTCTTTCAAACAAATAGAAAAAAGGAAATGACGTTTCACATGCGGCTTGCTTACAAACAGAATTGTTCTTAACCATTTTGTTTCTCACCAGTCGAAGTGCAATTTTAAATGCACTGAAACGAAGTTGCATCTTTGTAGTGAGTAAATTGTTTTTTTCTATATGAAAAAATATATATATATATATATATATATATATATATATATATATATATATGGGTAGATAGTGAAAGGTTTGGTAATCCGTATGGATAATCCCAAGGATGATGCAATCCAGAGAGCTCAATGTCCAACCAGAGCAATTATTAATTCAATTTAATTAGAAATCAGACAATAAAATATCAAAATATAAAATATAATCAATGGACCCTTAAGGTTGTGTTTTCCTAATTAAATTGATATATATATATATATATATATAATGTATATAATGGATTTCATTTTTATCACTTTAAACGTTATTTTTAGTGGATACTCGTAATTGAGTAGACTAGAGCAGATATTAAAAGGAATTTGATACGAGAAGGATTTCGCATGGAGGCACGTTTCGAACATGTCTTCATCGATGAGTTTGCTCGATTCGGTCGGGGCACGTCGTGTCTGGTCAGAGGTTTCCCTTCTGCCCGGTAGGACGCGGGGTCGAGTCCTGTCGGAGAGCTCATATTTTTCTTTGATGAGATTTTCTCGAATGTTCAGCCCAAAGAGCAAAAATAATTATAACGTTTATTAAATAATTAGCGTTTATAGTGAGTTCCAAATTTGTTGATGTGTTGTTCTTGCTGCATTGTGTTGATGAGTGCAGGGGTGTTTTTTTTTTGTTGTTTTGTTTTTTCGATCGTTGCGCTTAAGAACTCTAAATAAATAATAACCGGACAATCCCCATCGCACAACAACATTAACTTTATTACCTGGAACTCAACTTTTGAATTCGGTTGTAGAGAATTATCCTTGCCTTTTGCGTTGAACATTGTCCTGTGCAAGTTTACTTCATTTTTTTCTGAAATGTCCCGTATGATTTGTAGTTAGCATTATGTATTCATTATTACAACCCGTCCTCCCCAAAAGAAATTAAAACAATTTTTCACTTAAAAATCAACGAAAGTTTCAGTTTGGCTATTTTTTTCTTGGCTTTTTCAATATTTCTAATAATTATTTTGATTTCTGGTTGGTATTAGCAAATAAAACTTCGCCTATCTAAAGATATTCGACTGCCACAACCCATATTCAAAGTGATTATTGTTTGCTGTTTGTTACGTCGCCAGTTTAATTTTTCAAATACGGCGTTTCGTGTATTCGATTTCATTGCGCATTCGCTTTCATCGCGTATTCGCATGATAATACGTGTCTTCTACTTTCTTCTTGGTTTTTAATCAACATGCAAATATATATATATATATATATATATATATATATATATATAATATTAGGACAAATCCTCGCGCAACGCACTACGCGGGTTTCGACCTTATGGTATTGTCAGGGCAGTTACTTGTGGATGGTTAATCTATAACACTATTCATTCCCGCTTAAATAAATTAACAAAGAGTCACAAGGAGTCAGGAGGGGAGAGGCAAGGAAAGAATTGGAGGAGCCGAAAACAAAAACAAAAAAATTGTTCATCCGGGTCGTACTGGCTCAGAGTATATTTATTGGTATGTCTACATTTTGACATTACTTTAAGACATTTTTATGTTTATACATTCTTTTTATAGATACAAATATTTTAAGTAAATGCTCTGTTTTTATAATAAACAGTATTAAACAACATTTACCGGCCTGAATGTCCGAGAAATTTTCACAGAAAATATTCGTCCTCTGACGAATTAATTTTCTGTGAAACTGTTAACTGAAAAGTGTTCCATTTAACAATGGCAGGATATTCATATTGTGAGCAGGTAGATATGATTTTTACACCCGTTCACACTAATAGTAATGGACGCGAGGCTGCATGGCTGTATCAGATTGCGTTTTCAGACCGAAGTCAGCCGACGAGAAGTACAAGAAATTAAACTGTTGGCATAGAAATATACATCATTATATATTAAAATCTATGTATATATATTAAAATAAATTCGGATATCAGTGTGTCACTGTGTTTCACTTTTCAACGTTACTCCTAGAGGCTGTAGCCCAACATATAATACTATTTTGAAATCAGACTCTGTGAGTAAATTAAAAACATTCCGAGTCTGATCCGGACCTGCAATCTTGAAATTTTGGATTTCCAAGATTTCACCACTGCGATTGTTTTGGGATTCCACCATCTTCGCTTCTATTGATAAAAACAATTAAAGGGGCACAACTGTCTAACTTTCAGTATGACATGTTCAAATGAAAAAATTACTGTTCTTAAATTACAGTGTTTCAAAATAAGATTGCAATTGTTTTCGGCGATTTTTATGTGATTTTTTGCGACGAATATTTTTGTACGATAATAATTTTTGTAACGTGGAAATAAATTTGGGTATACTCAAAATTATTTGCAAAATCTAGCGAATGAAATAAAAATAATTGTTTGTACGGAAGGTAAGGACCTACGTACATCAAATTGTCTTTAAATTACATGTCGGCAGAAGAATTATCGTTGAACCTTTAAAAGGTAAGCTTAAATATTAATGCAATACTTAAATGCAACGATCAATTTTTAGTTCTTCTGTAGTTTATTGTTGCCTATCGCATCTATTCCTCCCCGCCTATTGTGATGAAGGCCCGATCAAGAGCCCTTCGCGGGATCTAGTTTAAATGCTGTCCGATAGGGCGCGTTTTAATCTAGTTATTAATATATTATAAATTATCCATCAAACACTCTTTATCTCCACCAGCATTCACTGTGCGCTATTTTATAGACACACGCATAAGCAGGAGAGAATTCGCTATACGAAAAATCATTAAACACCATATTTCTGTCGTAATTCCTAAAAAAAACATGTATAACTTATATTACAGAAGATGGAAAACCGCAAACCTTGTTGTCATTAATCCCAATATCCCCATCGGATCTATACTAGTGATGACCAATGTAGTGTATCAATTTCGCTGTTCAGTAAAAGACTGTTTCCTGTCTCAAATCAGTCATCTCTCTTGGACATACTACTACCTCCTTGAGTAGATGCCTCACGTGTCACTTATCAGATCAAAGTGCTATAAAAAAAAAAGTCAATCAACCCACAATTTACATGAACCCTTTAGAAAAATTGTGCTCGAAAACAATAAATTTCTATATAAATCATATTACTGGAAGCATCTCGCTGGTAGTGAGAACCTGTATATTAAACGTAAGTCTACAATCAACCTCACCTTATTTAACAGTGAAAATTGAGTGATAAAAGATTTTTTTAAATAGAAAGATGATCTCGCGAATTGCAGCCATGGTGAACATGCGAAGGCTCGGAATAAACGCTCCTATTCAAAGCAAGACACAACTTAAACTGTCAAATCATAAGGAAAAACTAACAAAACCAAAAACAAAACCCCCTTGAAAATCGCTAAAGAATTAGCAAAAAGCGCTTGGGACAATGGAAATTGAGGAAAACTTCTGTACTCCCTTACTCCTACAAAACAGAAAAACGTAAGGATGCTGATATCTAAATAAAAAGGTTAATTAAATCTTGTCTGCCATATACAATGAAACATGTTTAAAAGAAAGATTGCCCATTTGCTTTTATGATTTTAGACTGGTTCACAGAGACGACCATTTTTATTTGGCGCGAAGCTTTCTTATTGGCTGAAATATTATGGTTTCGTGAAGATTTGAATGAGCTGCGACTTCTTTAAATTGATAATTGAATATTGATGGGCTCTGACAATGACTGAAAATGTTGATGGGCTCTAACGATAACTGGACGTGTATGGGCTCTGACGATAACTGAAAGTTGGGCTCTGACGATAACTGAATATTAATGGGCTCTAAGAATGACTGAAAATGTTGATGGGCTCTGACGATAACTGAAAGTTGTTGGGCTCTGACGATAACTGAATATTGATGGACTCTGACAATGACTGAAAATGTTGATGGGCTCTGACGATAACTGAATATTGATGGGCCCCTACGATAACTAAACGTTGATGCTTTCTGATCATAAGTGAACGTTGACGGGCTCTGATGAAAACTAAACATAGACGAGTTTTGACGAAAACTGAACGTGGTTGGGCTCTAACGTTAACTGAACGTTTTTGGGATTCTGGCAATTACGGAATGATGATGAGCTCTGACGATAATTGAACGTTGTTTGGCACTGGCAATATCTGAAAGTTGATGGGCTCTGACGATAACTGGGACATGTATAGGCTCTGACAAAAATTGAACGTGGATGTGTTCTGACGGTAACTGAGCATTGATGGACTCTGGCGGTAACTGAACGTAGATGGGCTCTGGCGGTAACTGAGCATTGATGGACTCTGGCTGTAACTGAACGTGGATGGGCTCTGGCGGTAACTGAGCATTGATGGGCTCTGATGAGTTCTTTAAACCACTCAGACGTATGGTTTCCCCTTTAAGAGGTGACGCATGTTTGAATACCTGCCGGGAAACACAAGTCTCTCGAGTGTGCACGCATGTTGATAAAAAATAAATCACACGCTTAATAAAAAAAACAGGTTTCGAGTGATTTGTTTTTTACGATTTATCGACCTTTTTTTGCAGTTTATATAAGACCAGAATATATTTGTAGTCTGTAATATTTTTTTTAGATATAAATGATTTTATAGATAAAAGATTTACTAATTAACACTTAACTGGAAGGCAAATAGATGGATTCATATCTTCACAATGGTATTTACATGTAAGTGAATATAACGAACCAGACTGGAAATGGAACCCGGCTCTTTGATTTCCAATCTCTAGCCGTTACCCATTACGCCACCCGTACATCGAAACTTACAGCCCCTGGTATTCCCAAGCGATCACCCATCTAGGTCCTGACCTGACTCGACGTTGCTTTACTTTGGTGATCGTACGAAAACCAATGCTTCAACGTAATATGGCCGTAAGCCTTAAAAAATCAGGGCGTCTACTCAAACACGTGCATTCTCTAAAATGACGTTTAGAGTAATAAGAAATAGATAGTTCTCCAAGTGACGTTTTTGGTTATGCTTGGTTCTCACCAGTCGAAGTGCAATTTTAAATGCACTGAAACAAAGTTGCATCTTTGTAGTGAGTAAATTGTTTTTTCTATATGAAAAAATTATATATAAATAAATAAAATTATACATACGCATTTAAATTTGTAATTGAATTTATTTTTATCAGAAACTCGTATTAGCTCAGCTTCTTTTGAAATCAAATCCAAAATTTAAGAGCGAAATTGCAATTTTAACACCGCTATACTTTCACTTGTAACCTAGTCTGTTATTCCTGATTCTGCCAATAGCAATCCGAAGTAATTTGTCATTGAGCAAGTGTCTCATACATTTCCATCCACTCCTCAAATTGTGACAATGGTAACTCCTTCAAAATTTCTGTTACCTCTGATGAGAACAAATTCGGTCAAAACCTTTTAATGTATCGCTCATAGAAATGATGTCAGACGGAGAGAAAAATTTGACCTGTTTTTTTTTTTTTTTTTATATTTTCAAAAAGCAAAAAAGATGTTTGCAATAAGTGTGGGAGAGAAAACTAGGATAAAACATAAATATACACATGTGTATATATATATATATATATATATATATATATATATATATATAATAGAAACAAGAAAACAAAAAAAGTTGTGAATCATAAAAATAAAATAGATAAAAGAAAGAAAAACAAAAAAATAAAAAAAAATGATGGAAAAAATGAAGAGAGAAAAACATGAAGGAAAAAAAACTTGAGAAACATTCTTAACTGAACTTGTTTGGTATTTTTTAAAAAATCTATTTCTAGAAGGAAGTATAAAGACTTAAGATATTTCACCTATTTTTGTTTAAGTTATTAAAAAGGTTTTCTTTTTCTTTTTTCGGTAACAAGAGGCTGGATACATATTTGAAAACCGGTTTTCGACGGAAACTTACACACACCTAATCAAGCAGCTCGCTACAAAATATATATAAAAAAAATTGTGGGTCTTAATCAGATGTTAAATGCACGTGTACAGGGGAGAGGATAAATCAGATATTAAGTTTGAAAGATTTTTTTTATTCTATACATATTCTTTATCTGATCCTCTGAAAATGAACATTTCTTTTTAGATTTATAATTCTACGATAGGCATTTCGACGTGGTGTAATGATCAGCAAGCATAGATCAATTAAGACTGAGAAGAGAGTTCGATCTTCATCGAGTGCTCCATACTTTCATCTTGTGCCACATCTGGGCCAGGGCGGACCTGCGAACAACACTTTAGAGGTGGTTCCACGCTCCTCAAAACCTCGATCAGAGGCCTTGGTGCTAGATGTAGTTTATCGTCATACCCAGGACGATATTTTGAAATTGAATGGCAGTAATAATTTTAGACAAATGATACAACTCAGCTCGATAGCAATGTCGCAGATTTTGTCGCAGATTTTGTCGCAGACTGGGGCTAATTAGGGACTTAGGGAGCTGAAGTACCCTATCCAACTCCCCGCTTACATTGGTGTGGATTCCTAATATATAGAAGGTGGTATAAAAACAATTCAGGGAACTTCATAACTATGTGCAAATAGAATGCTGTACAAATTTTGCTGTTACTCTTTGTGGGTAATTTGTGGCTGTACGCATGCTCAAAAGAACTATTCCAACAGTGACGGTGGAAACTAATTGTAATTTTTCTTGGTGCGATAATTACGCAAACTTAAGTCTAGTATCTTGTATATATAGGTAAATTGATAGATAGACACACACACACACATACATACATACATATATATATATATATATATATATATATATATATATATATATATATATATATATATATATATATATATATATATATATATCTGTGTGTATGTATCTATCAATTTACCTATATCAATTTACCGATTAAATAGGTCAAGGTCTGGTCCCTCCTCCCCAATACTAAGTATGATTGAAAGAAATATTAAATAAACCCTCTCTAAACTCGACCATGACTCTCAAACCACACCTCATTACCCACTCTGTTAAATTACAAAAACTTACACTACCCATCAAAAGTATGAATTTTTATTTCATTTCGTTTCGTTCCATCTTTTGGAAGTGCTATCTGATGATCCAGAGTCCTTTAAAAGGGCTCTGGTGAAATAAATTGTTATAATGGAACCTTAAAGTAGTCTATTTTTTTTATATATATATATATATATATATATATATATATATATATATATATATATATATATATATATATATATTGATAATATTAGTGGTCAATATATATATATATATAATTTTAATTTATTTGTAACAAACAGTTATTTCTGATGAAAAATTGAGGACAATTTGAAATATCAAATATATATATAAATAAATAAATACTTTCATAAAATAAAACATTTTAATTTTTAATTTGAAACTTTTTCTATATATATATATATATATATATATATATTTCCAAGAGGAAAAAATCCAGGTAGAGCTGCATGTCAAAGACAGAGCAAGAATATAATATAAAAGGCTCAAATACTAATATTTTATGGTTATAATTTATTACATTGGAATCGTAATCACGACAAAATTCATCAGACCTACAAATGCAAAGACAAAAACAGAAAATATATGAAAAAATTTTAAAAAAATGCAAACATTCCAGTGATATTGTATATGTGGGAATGAGAAACAAAGGTGAAAGGGAAATATATAAAAGTTCTAGATAGAGGTGTAAAGAAAGAATAGGAAAGGGCCTAAAGTGAGAGTGAGGAAAATATTAATGTTATGTTAAAATATTAATGTTATGTTAAAATATTAATGTTGTAAAATAATTGATTTCCTGTATCATAATCAGATTAACTTTGGTTCAAAATGAATGAAGAAGGGTTTAATTCAAATTATTTTTTAAAATGTCGCCCTCAACACAAAATTTGTAAAGTCGTATATAAGTAAAGTAGTATTATGATGTTCTGAAATCTTCTACAACTTTCTGGAACATTCTAGAACTTCCTGGAACCTTCTAGAAATTTATGAAATTTGTAAGTTTGTATGTTATGCTCTAAATTGTTAAAAGCGTTAAGAAATACATAAGAACTATACATTATGTCATTAACAAATTGAAAAATAAAGCTTCTGAAATATTTTAATTTTTACCCCTATTGCGTATATGATAAAATTGATTTTTTGGTTTGGCGGGCTGACGTTTTTCAAGAAGTAAAACAAATTGATGCCTTTTTCATTACTTTGAACAAAAGTTCACACTTTATGACACAAAAACAGGTTACAAAGAAGTCATAACCATAATACATCCATATATATTTTCCCCTGATAGCTATAATCTCCAACTATTCAAATGCAATGTCAATCGACATCTCCAGATTCCTTGATCTATTCCTCGTCCTTCTCTTCATCCTTTCCTCTTTCACGCCTCTTTACTCTTGCTCCCATTTTCTGTAACCCCTTGAGTGCTAGTGGCACTCCCCCCTTGCTTAGGGTGAAAAGTTTAAAAAAAGTTTACACGTATTTCATTTGCTATTTGTTTTGTTTTTTTTTTTCTTACTCAGCGAAATTAATAATAATCGGTCTAGATTGTGAAGCCATACTAACGGAAGATATGGCCTCCTACAGGAATCGAACCTGAATCCACTTTTTCATCAAGAAAAGCGTTTCTATAGACAAAACGTGCCTTTGCCAATTCGGCCACGGAGACTGCGTTGGTAGAATGTGGTTTGGATTACCTATGTAAAGAATGTCCTTTTCACGTTGGGACCTCAGTGAATCTATATCTGCAAACTTCGTACACGAAACATGAACAATAGTAATCTTTTGAAGAGATTTTTTATCCGACATTATTTATATGAATGTTATATTTAGTGGGTACACGCATAGAAATAGCTATCCTTTTTGTTTCTTTTTCTTTTATATATATATATATATATATATATATATATATATATATATATATATATATATATATATACTCGATGAATTACTTCATTACAATTATCTCAAATCCTCCTAATTTCTATTACTTGTATATCCTTGGATGGGGCGTCTCGTGGGGGCACAGTCCTATGAATAAAAGAGAAACTCGGATGAGTTCCACCACGGAATATGTGATCGAGCGACGCTATCTCGAGTCTGATTCGCTATCTCTTCGTCACCGAGGCCCTTTGGAACAGTTAGTATGACGTTTGCCTGGTAACTGTCCGGGTTTCAATTCCTGGTAGTGGATGCGTACCTTTGATGAGTCCCAAATATAGGACGAAACGGTCGTCCAGTACTTTCTGCACTCTGTTGAGCTTTCTTATAGACTCGATGAATTACTTAATTGTGATTATCTCAAATTCTCCTAATTTATTATATATATATATATATATATATATATATATATATATATATATATATATATATATATATATCCAGGGTTCGATGGATAAATTGTCGTCTAAATTACTTAAAAATGAAAATAACACTGACATCTTCATTTAAAAAGATATATTTACCAAAATTGTACAAAAATATCTTGAAATACTAAAGAGTAAATTTATTCAATAAAATCGCCATTGGCTTCAACCACGGCTTCTAGACGACTTCGAAATCTCCTGCCATTCTTCTGCAAGGTCTCCTTGTTTAAGTTGGTGAATGCCGCTATAATCTTTGCTTTCAGTTCATCTTTTGTATTACAAGGAGTTTTGTTGGTATCTTGCTCAACTGCATCCCACACATAATAATTAAGGGTGTTGCATTCTGGGTAGTTAGTTAGCCAGATGTAAGGTGTGATGTGGTCGCAGAAATTTTCGGACATCCATGACTGGGTTCTCCTGCTTGTGTGACAGTGTGACATGGTGTAGACTCCTGTTGCTAGACATAGGGTCTTCCAGTAGCCACCTTCTTCAAAGAGGGCAGCACTACTTTCTCAAGAGTCTGGGTGTCAATCTGAGGACATTGCAGTGGATTC